GAAGAAGAAGAAGAAGAAAAAGAAAAAGAAGAAGAAAAGAAGAAAATAAGTTCAGAGGTTTTAAAATTTCACTGACCTTCAAGGTAAAAATAAAAGGAACCGATGTAAATGTAAAGGACTATGCAGTCACTTGTTTGAAAGCTATTCTATGCTGTTAATCCTTCACTGATGCCATTCTTTGGGTCTTTGGTAGTTTGAAAAATTTGCTTTCTTGGGAGGGGAACCAGAACTATGTAATGCTTTTTGAGAAACAGGATAGAGCAACATGAAAAGACAAACTTTCAGCCATAGGCAGGGGGTATGCAGTGGCAAGCATTTAAATATTAATATCTAAAAAAGTCTTCATGCAGTAGCTGCACATACAGAATATATAACTCTATTCCAACTTATAAAATATTAAACTGGAGTTATTTAATGCTGAAGTTGAATAACTATGCATTCAAGAATCAGGACATCTAAAAGTCATGCTGAATGCACAACTGAACTGAATCAACAGCTTGTACTACAGACCATGTAAATATTCTAGCTGAATAGATAGGCCACAAATACCATCACAAAATGTGACACAAACACAGGTTTAATGCACAGACAGGATTCCTTCAAAGGGAACCACATGGACACTTACTGCTATCACACAGGTAATTTATTTCACTGCCAACTGGAGCCATTACCTACTGAAATGGAACTTTTTTGTATTTTTATGTGATTTTGCAGTTATTGGAGGATTAAGGTTTAAATTTTTAGTACTGCTATTGAATTCAGCAGACTTTTTTGCTAGTGTGAATATTTTCATCTGACTCTTGGAGGTAAGCATTCATTTACTAATCAATTTAAAACTGTTAGTTGACTAATGTTAGGGGATTGGAGGTCACTTAAGCAATATTTTATTTTAGTCTTGCAAACTGAGAGTCCAGGTCTGTATGGCTGAGCCCTTCTGTCCAAAGCAGAATTCTCTGAGTCTTATCCAGATGTGACTTCCCTTGGCCCAGTCACAGCAAGGACGTTGTGCTTTATTGTTGTGTTGCAAATACTTCAGCAGGTCTGTTGAACTCAATGTAAATACTTCTGTGGTTTAGCAACTACCCAAATAATGCATACCCAAAGCTGTGTGTGTACATTCTCTTCTAAGGAGAGAATCACAATCATTTTATGGTAATATAACTTTTTTTTCTTTTTAATGTTACTCAGTCCTAAGTTCAAAATCAACAAAATCAGGTAAAACTCATAAATCAGTTTTTATGTCTCCTAGTTCCTTTCCCATTAAAACTCCATCTACTACAAACACAGAAAAATAGGAAATGGATTCTTAAATATTTTACCATGCAATTTCTGAGCAAAATCTTTAGGTTTATTACATAAAACTGCTTATTACTTTAACTGCGAAGTTGCAGTTATCACATAAGAACTGGATGGACTTTAACAGCACCTTGTTTTGTGAACTAAGGGTTAAAATCCTGTGAGAAGTCCCACAGCTGTTACTGGCAATTGGGCTTGAGAACATTAACCTAAGGATTCCTGCTCCCCTATCAAGAGTAATTAGCCACTGATTATTAATTCGCCAACATGGCTGAAGAGGGGGAAGAGGACAGAAGGAAGCATGAAAGTAAGTGGTATCCTGTTATTTGACTTGGCCATTGCTATGACCCTTATTTGCAGGTTTTTTTTGAACTGTTGCTGAAGAAAACATGAATTTTTTGTTTGTCCTAAGCCTTTTGTAGAAGTCTGCTGGACTTCTTCATATTCATAAATATGAATGATTGCCCTATTGGTTGCCAGGCTATTACAACTAGGAGAACAGATAATGTTTTAAAAAACCCCTAAACCTAAACAAACAAAAAACCCTACTAGTTTTGTATTGTGTAACTTTCTCGGGCAAGCAGAGTCTGTTGTTTTTCTCCTGCTTTTTAGCTCTGTAAATGCTATTCTTGGTGTGAAGCACTTGTTTTCAGCATTGATAGTGGCCTGGTTTCTAATCATGCTTTGAAATTATACGTTGGTTTAAATGGCAAGAGAAAATGGTTCTTTTCTGATTAAACATCAATACAGCAGACTGATGGTTCAGCCTGCTGCCTCAAACCCTTAACTCAAATCTTAGTTCTGATAGCTCTGGAACTCAGGCTCGCGATATCTTCATAGGAATGGCTGTTTCCTACAGAATGGGAGGCAGGGTTTTCAAACCAGTCATTTTTTTATCTAAGGGTTTCAACAGAAAGTACATTTTGTGGCTGGGGTTGTTTATAAAACAAGGCAAAATATGGGTTCTGTAGTGCAGGTGATTGGGTCAGTTACTGAAATATAAATAGGAAAAACAGGCTTCAAGTCTGTCCTGGGTCACTTCTCCTTGTTCTGTATGCCTCAGCCATTAGTGACATATGCAACCAGCCTTGCTGAAGTTTGGGTAATTAATGCAGGCCTAAAAAATGTGGTTTTTTCTCTGGTAGAAAGATTTTGCAGCCTCATAGCTGGGGATTCTCATGTGAGTTGGAAGCAATGCATGTGTTCCACTATCATGGAGATGTAAGATTTCAAATGTGGGAAGGAAGTGCACAAACACTACAGAAGGCATTTAAAACAGGTTTTCAATCATTACTCTGGTACAAAGGAAGCTTTTCATATTTGTTTGCTTCCTGTCTATTTCTGTTCTGTTTTCACATGCTGTCAATGGATCAACATCGTCTGCTTGACTTAATTTCTTTTCCTCCATTCAGAGCCAGATTGCTTAAGTAGCAGGGTCATTGGCACAGAATATCTCTATGTTTTGAATATGAGTGGTGTCTGAAACTTGTGTTCAGCTCCACCCTTCATGCACTGTTATGCAGTTATAGATTGTTTCATTGGAATGCAATTTCACTGTGTCTACGTAACAAAGTTGTTACATACTCTTGTCTTATTTAAAAGAACAATTGATAATAACATTTCAAAATCTACTTGTTTTGTGTACTAAATATAACTATGTCCAATCTTAACGTTTTCATCTCAGTTTAAACAAGTATTTGCTATTTTTGCAAGCATTTTTAAGTATAGAGTGATACATTATGTTTTACCAATTCTGTGACTTTCCCTTTTATTATAATTTCTTTGTTCTCTCCTTGCAAGCATTTTTGTAGATCAAATGTCAGATGTAGAGAGTTGGTCTAAACACAGTGACAGATATCAGGTGACGATTTTAGAATTGCCTCCCATTATTCCTTTCTCATAAGTCATTAATATATTGCTGATTTTCAGCAAAATTATTTCAGTGGCAGCTGGCTCTAGGAGCTGGGCCAAAATATGCTCTTAATAGCTCATATCCTAGTGATAGTTATCCTTTATTCCCTCTTCACTGACTTGAAACTTCACTTATCTTTTCCCTTTGAGACTTATTGTTGGCTGTGATAATTCAGTGTGTGGTCCTGGCAAGTTACAAGCAAGTCATGCTTGTATGACTATGTCATTTTCTCTTTCTCTTTTTTTTTTGTGAGGATGCTGAGTGACACCTTTGTAAGACATTTTTTTAAACATTGTTTGAATTTGATTAGACATTTGCTTGCAGAAGATGGAGTGGAAGCTAGGTTGACATGAGACACAGATTAACACTTGTTTTATCAGTTTACACAAGGATAATAATTAATAAAACAGTTGATATTTCAAATGACTGGCCCATATGTGATTTAGAGCAGGACAGTATTCTGTAGAAAATGCTTATAAATTCTAGACCTGACTGCTCTGGTTGGCAAAACCGCGTGATGATATCAAAAACTGTTTGGTGAACAGGTTTGACTTAGTTATACTATCCAAAAACGTTTTCTGATCCTACTGACAAATTTTTTCTCAATGACAGGCAGTCCATCTTTAATATGTGAAGGAAGGTTTTTAGTGCTCTCACAGAACACTGTCTAAAATTTATTATCTTTGTTCATCAGCTCCCTGGTACCTTTGGGCAAGAGACTCCTCCTGTTTCAGTGCAGGACTCAATGAGTACATTTAACTGTACTGAGAGGCAGGTTACAGTGTCAGCAGCAGCTCCTTGGATCTTTCCTTGGGGAGATTCTGGTTCTGAGTATTTGGATAAGAACCAAGATCTGCATAAGCAGAAAGAGTGCTTGAACTTATTAACAGTGACTACTTTGGCTTGGGAATTTTTCTTGTTATTCACAGTGCCTTTTTTTTTTTTTTTTCTTTCCTTCTAGAGGAATATTCTTCTTCCTACACTTGGAAAGTAAAAGAAGCTTAGCCAATAAAATTATCAAGGTCTCTGATATAAAGCTAGTATTTATTTATTGCTAGCTCTTACAGATACAAGATTTTTTGCTATATCTTATTTTTGAAAGCTTGATCTAGTCTCCCCAGTTTTGTTTGTCTGGATATTTTCAGACTGGGACATCAAATTTCTTTTATTTTTTTCTATATTTTTCCACGTAAAACCATGCAACAGTTTTAACTGTACAAAGGAAAAACATCTTCTTTGTAGTCCAAAAGCTTTATGTATAAAGCTATTGTAATTTTAGTTCTTTACATGTGAAGGGCAAAGAGAGGTAACTTCAGTCCTGCTACACAGAAGAAAATTGAGGTCAGTTACTGATCTTCTGACCTATGAGTTCCACTGTTCTAACCAAGATTGGATAATATTCCATGTTTCCACCCACTTGGATCAGCTGCATGGATGCATTTAAAAAGATGAATATCTTATTTCCTCCCCATTATTTTATTCCATGATGGCCGCTGACGTTAAGCACATATCTCAATGAAGATATATTTAGGTTAGACTATATTGTTGAGACTAAAAGTTAAGTTAGACTATAAGCTAATGACAGGGACTACATTTCTGAAATACCACATTCCCAATAGTCTCCTTTCCAAATTTTTTTTTCAGTGCAGATAAAGTTTGAAATTTTAGGAATACTTAATACTTCAAAAAGCTCGGTAGTTTTGCAGCTTTTTTCCTTTACCATCCTAGGTGTCTTTGCTTTCCTAGTCACAAGGTCACAACTTAGCAATGAGCATTGCTGCCAGATCATTGCAAATTAGTCAACTTGATCACGACACAGAAATAAAATCATGATGTTATTTAACAGTTCATGACATCACTAATTGCTTGATCCTGCACAAGCACATTATTTTCAAGTTTAAATATTTAAGCTCAGAAGAAAATTAATAACTTCACTGTGGCCTTCAACTGAATTTGATTTTACTTAAAAGCATCATAAATGCTTAAAAGTACCATAAATTTAACAGAAATTAATCCAACTGCTTACTTGATCTTTGGTTTTTGATGAAGAAGAGCTTTAGTCTCTCTTTAAAGGTATTTTCATTCATATAGAATTCAACTTGCACCCTGAAATAATGAAAAAAAGAAAGTATTAGGATTGGTTATGAAAGATAATAAATCAATATTTCATAATAACTTGTTTCTCTAATCAACTATTCATGATATAAAACTAGAGGGACTTATAGTGAGTGTTCAGCCAAAACCTCACTTGGCTTTGAATGACTAATGTTGAAAGTTTTTAAAAAAGCCCAAACCAAATTAAAAAAAACCTCACCACCACCAGGCAGACGACCTTTCATTTATCCCCTTTACATGCAGAATAATTTTCATATTACTCAAACAGTGTACACTGGAAAATAAGAAGGCTCTATGCTTTTGGGATTTTCATTGGATGACCATTCTCCTATTTGCATATTAGTAGGGAAGATTTCCTTGATGTCCAGGTTAAGCCGCCCGTCTTAGTTTAACTCCTTTCCTGTAAAAGTGACATTCTAATGATCCTTCTTTTTTCTATCTTGTTCATATTTCTGTTCAATGTTCATGTTTCAGTCTATTTGTTTGTACTCACCTATCATCATTTGTGTACCAAACAAAACCACCCTCTCTGAACTTGTTTTTGTCACCATGAAACAGTGAGAGCTGAAAGCAAAATTATGTTTTGCACTCACACAATATTGTACAGAAAATAACTCTTCTCCTGATTATATTAAAGCAACAGGGGCATCTTTCCTCCATTCCCTCATATCTGCCTGGATATATTTCATCTGTCTGTCCCTCAGTTCACCTGAGTACCACTCATGCAATAGTTACTCAGACTAGAAGAGAGAACTGTGGCAGGGACTGGCCAGGGAGGAAGGTGGGTTCCAGTTCTGTAGAAAACCTCGGGCTGTTCAGAGCTGTGGAGCTGCAGTGCTTGCTGGAAGATGAGAGCAGCATTACTCCCATTCTCACTGAAGTCCCTGCTCTACCCAAATTACTGACCCTCCCTCCCCAAGCTCCCCAAGCCAGTTGCTCCCCAGCAATGAATCTCTACCCAGCACATCTGTGCCTTCCTGAGCACTCAGAGCTCAGCTGGGGAAGGTCCATTATTGCTCAAGAATAAAGTAACACCACATGAGTGAGTTAATTCTCTACATCTCCCTTTCTCTGTAGCTCATCATGTTTTGCACAGCTGCATGTACTTTTTCTGTTCATAAGCATGTCTGAACTTTATTTCAGCATTTCTTCTCAGCAGTCTTTCATCACATAACTGTATGTCAACTACTTGGTTTTATAGGTAGTCATATTCTTCTAGCAGAACCCTCACTTTAGTTTTTCCCTTCTTGCATGTGAAGCCTTTTGCTGAAACTATTTTTGTACAATATATTGTTACCTGTAGTGTCTCTCAAACAGTTGTTTATACCAGATATTTCCATACATTTATGGAATTGATGGGTTATTTACTCATGGACTTAGAATGGGTGACATCTTGGGCAATGTGACTTTTCATGCCTGCCTACTACCAGAAGTTTAGGCATATCACTTTGTAGGACAGGGTCATAAAAAGAAGGTTCTGTGATTCACTCAGTGAAGTCAGGTAATTTTAACTAGCCATTGCCTTTGGTGTGTTTTATTGTAGTGTTCCTTACAAGATGGGTAATTACACTACTTCCTATTCAAAGGAAGCACAAGCACAACCTTATTTTTAAGAATCTATTTTCCAAGGTACTTACTGTCATTAATGCAGTGACAGTTTTAGTGGGAAACATCTCCCATGATTTGGCAGCTGCCACATGCTAAGTGTACATACTTAATCTTCAAGGATATATTTCAAGAGGTAAACAAAGTGGCACAAGCTATTGAAGTAAGGGATGTTATTGAAAAGATGCATGGTGGGGGGTTTTTTTAACACATTCTGAATTAATCTATCAGCATTCTGGTAAGAAAATTTCAGTAATCACCTGGAAAAAACAACATGCTAACAGAGGGCCATGATTTAATGATAAAGAGGGAAGAGGCTGTGGGAGCTAATCACCCTCCTATCACCAGCACTATGAATTGCTCTGATGGCCTTCTAACAGCTGTCCACTTGGCTTTTCTAAGAAACCTGTGCTCACAGGAAACTGGGGTTCCACAGTGCAGCAGTTTCCATGGCAAAATGGATTACAAATGCTGCTAATGCCACTTCTGCAGCTCCTTCTCTATCCCCTGACTTCTTTAAACTTTAGCAAAAACTGTAGTGGCCTTCTACACTTGCAGAAATACATTACCACACATCTATAATCAATGCACTCTCCTGATACTCTAGCTACCAGAAAGCATTTCACTTTGTCTCCTGACGTTTGCTATTTGCTAAGTAAAATTAAGTATGACTGGCTGAAGGAGTCTCTGGCAAGGGCAGAAATCTCTTAATACTGATCTTTCCCAAGACTACTTTTTATTTCTAAGGAGAACCCTCATTCTACTTGAATGTTCCTTACAATCTTTAAATGGTTAATGTTTTACCTCAAGTATTTACTCTTTTCTGAATTTTTCCCACTATGAAGGGTAGCCTAGAAAAGGAGGTTTTTGGGAACCTACAAAACATAAATTTTGACCCCCCCATTGAAATATTGAGAACATTTTGTAGCAGCAGTGGTAAAGGGCTTTAACAAGATTTTCCTGGACTAAATTAGTAAAGGTTATTAAGGATATTTCAAGTGAGGGAGTGAAATTCTTGAGATATTTTTATATAAAACTTGATTACTCTGTTGCAGGATGTTTGAAATTTGATTCCAAGCAAATGGCCCACCACACAGATCAGGGTGACAGTACAAGTACATGCAGATCACATGGTCTACAGAATACATTGGGGTTTATTCTGTACTTATAGTGTAACTTGAAAATGTAGTTTCAACAATTTGTGCTTCATGTTTATCTTCCTGTAAAAGACAGCCCACCCTAACCAGAAGGAAGTCAAGCTGAAGGACAAATATGGGAGAGAAATCGTTGATGAATGTAAAGATTTTGTTTTTGTAGTCAGTTAATAGCTTCAGAATTTTTCAGTGCATGTAGCTGGTATTGAATATTACATGTAAAGCTGGTTTTGGATGTTAAAAGAACAAGTCTTATGTTTAGTCTTATGTTTACTGACTCTTTGTTCAGCTGTGTTGGAAATGCACAAATACATGATGCACCTCTAGCAAAAACCACTGAAGTTCTATTATTGTTCTGAAAACACAGAGTGGTGTGTTAAAACTCAATACCATTGGTAGTGGCCATCACTAGTTTAAACCCAAAGAACAGAGATGTCACTGAAATAATTTCAAATCTTTCAAACTGCAACAATCATCTTGAAGTACCCCAAGTCCTCACAGCATTGTTATAATTCAGTTAAGATGTAATTTGAGAAGTACATTTTAATGTAATACAAAGTATAGCAGGAAAATCCTAATTCCTGTCAAGGACACTAATGCAGAGCACCGCTGATGGCTGTAAAACATTGGGACCAATCTCTCTGTGCTCTGCATTTTTCCTGCATTTCCCATTACTATTTACAATGTCATTCTAACCCCATAGCCACACTTTACTATAGTAGCAGTATTATCTTGCACCCTCAAAGCTACAAATTGTCTTCCTTTCATGTTAAAAACCGGATTTGGCAGAAATAATCACTTCACAAATGAAAGTATGAGCTGGATTTCTCACTACGTGCATGCCAAGAGCTGTAAATGCTTATGTTTACTATTTATTGATGTTGGAATCAAGAAAAGGTATTAAGTGTACAAACAGAGCCAATCTGAAGAAAAATACTTACATTTATTTAAATCTGTCATTTTGGAATAGGACATCTCATATTTTTCCTACAAAGAAAGCCTCAAAATAGGAAAGGAATATGGAGGTTTTTAATTGGGATTTGGCAATTCAATATATGTGAAATCCTGATAGATTTCAGACCTGAAAGATTATATAGGCTATAGATGGGTGCTTAAAAATGAAGCACCTGAACTGCTAAAGTGAATTGCTATCATCAGATCTTACTTTATGCAATAAAAAAGGAAATAGGTTTTTTTTTTTATAGCTTTCATAAAAAGGATTAGTGTGTTTTAAGGATGACTGTCATGGGTAACACTTCTATTTGAAGTTTTGCAAGTTCTGGAGCACTCAGAACTCTCTTTTAAAAGCACAGTAAGCACACTTACTGAAGGTGTTTGCCATGCGCTGTGCTGGTGAAATCTAACTTTTGCAATATGGTCCTGCACTTTCTTAAATATGGTTCTAACAAGTGCAGAGTACTTAACACTGACAGGTATTAGGCCATTTTCTGATGGGGATTTTCATCAGTTTAATAGGAACAAACCAATAAGTATTTTCAAGAACTCTGCAGAACTGCGTTTGTGCAGTATTGTCCTGTAGATTCTTTATGATATCTCACACTGGGAAACTACATGACAGAACACAGGTTCCACAGGGATTTTTTTAGTTAGAAGCTCCCTTTCATATCAGTGAATCTGAGTTAAGCTCTTTAGTGATGTTTCTCCAGGCATATCTATATTCACTGGATGATGTAATTGGATGTTAACATAACTAACAGATTTACAGATACCAGGTGTTACCAGTGTCACTGTAAATAATTCTCTGCTTTAATGAAACAGACACAGCATAAGCTGAGTTAATAACAAGCTATAAAATAAAGGATTAAGGGTGCATAAATAATCTTAGAGATCAGAACTGTATCTTATGCTCAAATTCTTTTTAGTGTCTCCCTTCCATAGGGCTGCTTTGATTGAAACAAAACTAAGAGAGCATGAAAAAACTGGCCAAACCAACTTTTTCAGGTTGGACACAAGTAAAAATTTGTATCTGCAACAACAAAAAAACACTTTCTATGTCAAGGCAAACTTTTCCTTTACTTAACTGTTCAAACATCAAAATGCTAAAATATTCAGCCCTTAATTTTAATTATCTTCCTTACAATTTAAATGGTACATGTGTCCCTTTTTATGGATATAAATAGATTTTTATGGATATAAATAGAAATGTATCTTGAAATCTGAATGTAGCCAGCTTCACGCTCCTTTTTGCAATCAGTTACATAAAACTGTC